TTTTAAGTTTATAAATAACTAAATATAGATATCGTTAATTTTATATTTACCAAATGTAAATTATTATAAGTAAATGAAGATTAATAACATTCTTACTATCATATCCTGTATTCGTAGATGTAGAAGATGCAGATGGGGAGAAGTTGGACAGATATTTTCTAAAAGTTTGTCTTCGTTATATTGTTGTTGTATTGCAGATGATGTTTCTGCTGAATGTTGTCGTTCTATTTTTTGCTTTTTGGATATGTGTGCAATATCCAATTCTTTTTGCTGTGTGGCTAATTACTGCTCATTACTTGAATTAATATCTATGGATTGTTGCGCATACTGAAACATTAATACCAAAAATAATTAAAGAAGACATGAAGAAAAGTTTATAATAGAATAAAACGTGAAATAAAAAAATGTATTTAAAAAATAACAAATACCTCATTTAAATATTTGTTTAAATTGTTTTGAAATTTTCGTCGAGGACCAATGTTAGGTATTAAAATCTTAAGATCTTCTTCTGTTAAGCTATGAAATTGATCGACTTCTATTTCTTGAGCTACAGATAAAAAAAACATGCTATATATAATTATGTATTCTAGCTCTCTTTTCATCACTATAGTAAGGACACATTCCAGCAAAAACATAATGTATAAACATAGTGAATCATTACATCTTTGTTACTTCCCAACGTTAAACAAAAATGAAATGATTTGTTCTGTTACACTTTCTTCTTGTCGTAAAATGAATACAATACAATAAAATCATAATCAACAAAACACGTAAAAATATTTTATACTAAATTTTTTCCTATGTCCGAAAATATAAACTGAAAATTTTTTCATGCATGAATATTTAAGTATTATGAAAATTTTGTTGGAACACATTATAAAAATCACATACATAGTAAATATGTCGAAATTATAGACTTTTATAACTAGACTGCTGACTTAATGTGATAGAAAGAGATGAACCTGATTTCAAGCTGACCTTGTTTCAGTTCACATATGCGTATGTATATGCGTCCTGCCTATGAATATCGCGTGAATTTATGTGAAAACACTAGATGTTATTATCCGTGATCTATAAGGGGGAAGTAAATGAACGTAAATATGACGCTGCCCAGTGCTGTCTTGAAATAGAGGCAAAATCGGCAGTCTGTTTATAGAAGTCTGCAGTCGAAATGTACGCAATATACGTGTAGGCATTCAATTGCCGCTATTACATATACAGGGTGGGCCATCTATTGGTACGTTTTTAAAAATGCGATCAAATGAGCATACATTGATATTTTTTATTAATTTTTTTT